GAGTTTCTACATTTAATGGTGGATATTTAAACAAATACAATGATTGTTCTGTTGACTATTAGTTTAAAGAATGCAAGAAAAATATGATAAAGACTCATTTTGGAAAGTTATTTTATTCTGTGAGTCTCAGTTCAAGACGAATCAGTTTGTGCTCCAGAGAGCTTTGATCCAGATGCAGGTTTGGTTCCTGATCCGAGCTCCTGTTGCAGAGCTGCTTCTATATACCGAGCTCCTGTACTTTTCATGCATTTTCATTGTAAGGACAGAAAAATGAAATGTCATTGATTGCCGAGTCATCTGCTGCTCTTTTAGTTGCTGCTCCTGACAGACAGCAGTAACAACATGCATGTATATCTGTGAAGATTCTCAGTCATCCAGGTCATGGTCAAGCTTGAAAAGCTCTTTTTAGGCCGAAACTAGAAAACTTAACACGCACATATAATAGTGATTAAAAACTAAAAAAAAAAATAAACATTGAATAACAGCAGTAATGTAAACAGAATGAGGAATAATGATGGTTATAACGTCTAACAGCAGGTGAGAGGAGGGATCTATGATAACGCTTCTTTGTGCACCTAGGATGTAGCAGTCTGTTATAGAAGGAGTTCATCAGTTAGAAAGCTTCCTACATGGAGGAAAACAATCTAAATAAACATTAAAATGCAGCTTTCTGTGTTTAGTCAGGTTATGTTTGTTTTTTTATATTTTATCTGCAACATTTCTGTGTAAAATAAGTAAATTCTTCATGTACGAGTAATATTGCTGCTTTTCTTCATTATTCCCAAAACACCCGGGAGGCCGACTGGAGGAGCCTTAATTGTGTTTGACCTTTAACCCTCAAAACAAAAACAGTAGCAGCTCAACGGGTCCCCTGTGAACAATGAGGTCCAACTTAATAACAGGAAGCATGACGGTATTTACGGAAAGAGACACATTTTAAAGGGAAACGCTCGTTTTTTTTTTTTACAAAGCAGCTAAACGTGTGAAACATCCTCTGGTCCAACATCAGGAAACAATGATTTCATCACATCAGTCAGACATCCTTGACGTGTGACTGGATGATCCTCCTTCTGTGGACTCAACTGATCCAGGCTCAGTTCAATGAGGAAATGAATAAAACAAACAGAACAGAGGCGGTGCTGCAAACAGGAACCACTTTCTGCTTTATTCTTAACTTCATACGTACAGAAAAAAGTGTTTACATTTCTCCAAATCATGTAAAAGATTTCAGGAAACAAAACAATTGCACATAAGCTTCTATTATTGTCCATTTCAGTTTTGCTTCTTTAACACAAACAACATGGCTGACGATAAACAGGATAGAAACACACATTGTTGGCGATGCCCAAGAATAGGTGTTTTAGAAAGGACTCATCGTGTCCCTCTTGGTGTGAAATGTTCAGATATTCTTCAGGCACTTTTAGACATCAGAGATCCGGTAATACTTCCCATTTCTTATGCTCACAGTTACTGGTGTCTTGGTTTAAATGTGGGGTTAAAATGAAACCTCACAGAAGACAATCTCTTTCTTTGAAAACTCTCCTCAGGTGAAACTAATTTCAGTCCAGACAGTTAACTGTAGTAGAAAACAATCTGAATTTTTCACGCACTCATCTTTTCAGAAAACAGTTTGTGCAGCTTACCTCAGATGGGTTTATTTGTCCTGCACTTGGACCTCCATCTGGGTCGTCTGCATTGCTCTTTGGAGGATAAAAAGTCACCAACCTAACAGTTGGACGGTCTAACGGCTTATTATAGACAGTTTAACAGTATGTAACATCAATATCTGAAATCAAATTATTCCTTTTGTCCTGGAGCACAAAACATGCCAATCAGTACAGTCCAGGATTACTGGAATAATAATAAAATTCCAACCAGAACTAGGCTTTTTATTACATTCATTCAAGGTTGTACCAATGCTAACAAACAGGAGATCTATGCAACATGTGGTCCTCACAGCACTATAAGAAGCCAGACCATCCAGCCTCAGACCAATCCTTATCAGAAACATTAAATCATCTAAATGTGCTTCATAGACACCAACTTCTCCTCTCCAGTTTTGTTCAGCTTTGTTTATTTCTGGGCGCAGTGGTTAGTGTGCACGACTCATGTACGGAGGCCTTAGTCCTCGAAGTGGGCGATCCGGGTTTGACTCCAGTCTGTGATCCTTTGCCTCTCCCCCTCTCTCATACCCCCTTTTCCTGTCAGCCTAGTGTCCATAAACACAAACCACTAGTGCTGTAAAATAAAAAAAAACTCCAGGTTTGAAACTAAGTCTAGAATTTAGATGACAATACTATGAGTTTAGAAATAAAAAGCTGCAACAACCTGGATGCAGGAGTGTGCTTAGTCGCTACGAAAGCCCCTTCTGGTTTAGTTTAAGCTTTCTTTATTTTTGATTTTTGGTCTGTCAGCATCAGACGTTTTAACTAAGCTCTATTCAACTACTATAAAAATCAAAATCTCTCATTGTACAGGAAGTCTTCAGATCTTGCTCTTTGCTCTAAAACGTTCATGTTCCCTAAGAGTTCAGTTTTTAGTTGAGTTGGATGTGTGGCTGGACTTGCAATGATGCTAACAAAGCTCAAACTTTTTAGCAGGTATCTGACGTTTTTGTGAATATTAAGAGGTATTTATAATATTCACCTACACAAAACCTTACCTACTCCTGAAAAAAAAGAGAAGCTCCATATCATGATGCTACCCTCATCTGTCACTCTAGACCGTTTTTTTTTTAAATCCTGCTCCTGAGGAATCTGCATGTTTTCATGCAGGTTTACAGGTTTAACACAGCACTCGTTGACTAATGAAGTCATGCAATACTCTGAATCAGGTGCAGGAGAGAGCGATCTAAAACATGTTTAACTCTGCTCCAGAAAAAATAATGGAATAATGCAATTCCCGCATTATTCCTGTCAGCATTTTATCAAGAGAAAGGTTCAGTTTTAAAACCTCCTCTACATTTTATGCATCTTCTGTAGCTATTTATCATAGGACAATCTATAAATTGTCTATAAATAAGGATTTATTGCATGAAAACATGCAGATTCCTCAGGAGCGGCATTAAAAAAGGATTTATATAATCTGATGATAACTTTTAGTTTTAGTTATGTTTATGATTCAAACTTAAAGGAGTCCAGAAAGTGTTTTAACAAAGTAGCCACAGGTAAACGCATTCATGCAACCGGGTTGTTTCATATATTTTCCTCAAATAGGTGGCTTTTCTTTTTTCAGATAAACACACTAAAGATGGGAAAGTTATAAAATGATTCATGCAGGAATTTTTTTTTATTACAAAATCCAAAAAAACTATACAAATTAGAAAAAAATTCTCTCTTATTAAAGCATTTTATTATAAATAAAATAACTTTTTGAAAACATTTTCACCAAGTTATATCAAACTCCAGCAGGACTTAATATGGCGCAGCAAACCCCAGCTTTTTCTGCATTTTTTTGTTTTTATTTTTCTCAGATTTGAATTTGCGTGACCATAAATAAAACTTCTTTGCAGGACTTGATTTGACTATGAAGACTTTTTTTTCTAAACCTAATGACCCAGTTTTACTCCCTCGGTGTTGCAGCTTATTTTACGTCACTGTGGAGGAATTTTGTACCACTCTACTTTGCAGAATAGTTTTAATCCAAACACATTTGAAGGATTACGAGCATTAACGACCAGTTTAAGATCATCCTAATGAATTTTAATTGAAAATGAGTCCAGTCTCAGACTAGATAACTCCAGAACTTTCGTTTTTTGGAGCCGAAAGAGGTGAAACCATTTATGGATAACGTCTCTCACTGTGAGCTACTAGAGTTTTTTTTTTTTTAAATACCGTAAGAGGAGGTTTTGTATTATTGCATTGATATTTAGTCTACTTCATGTTGTCAGATGGGTTCTTCTCAGGAGAGGGAGGGGCAATTTTAATTTGAAAAATTTGGCATATCATTAATTTATGAATTGAAAAGATAAATGGAAAAATGGTTAGAATATTTTCTTCTAAGGATATACCACAATACGACAAAAAAAAATGTATTTCGATCTTTTTGTACGGTTTGAGCAGCTTTTCTTCCCAGATAAAATAAAAACTGCATTTTTTATTTAAGCTTCAGCTTTGTCAAATGAAAGAATGATCTGTAACATACTTTTTCCTTTCTTTTCAGTGCTGTGTTCGCTACAAACATGACCACATTAACCTCCATTGTTGCTGGTAAGGAAGCAAACTCCCAACTTGATGTCACAAAAACATCTGCATGAAAAAAAAACAAAAAAACTTTTTTCTCCTCCCCCCCACTGTTTCTCAGCTTGCTTATTGTAATCCAGCAGCAATGGCTTCATTTATCGACTGCTGTTTTTTTAAAAGCAAGATGCACGCTTGCAACCCCCCCCCCCCCACCCCCACCTGCTGCCTCGATTTCAAAAAGCTGCACTGCAGAGTGTCTGCTAAATGCTAAAAAAGGTAGAAAAACCCCACAAAAAGCAATTATGGCAGTTTGAAGCAATTAACTCCAGAGGACAATTTTGCCTTTTGTTATAAAAACAGCATAAAGAGCTGCTGCTAATTTCACACAGAGAGACACATTGTCTCCCCGCCGATCTTTATCTTGCCTCCTCTATTCCTGCTTTTATTCGGCTCGTCATGTCAGGAGCCCGGCCCTCCGTCGGAGCCTCCAGTAGCAGCGTTCTTTGGCTCTGGTAGGCAGCAGGTGGCTTCTGATGAAAAATTCAGTTCAGAGCCCCGACTCGGGAAACGACAGGGAGGCGGAGGGAGGGAGGTGGTGGATGTGAGCGAGAGGGGAGGAATATGGAGGTGTTGAGGTAGAAGAAAAGGAGCGTAATGAACAGAGAGAGAAAGAATGAAAGGAGAAGATGGAGCTCCAGACAGACAGGCAGGGAGGCGGGTGAGGGGAGCCCAGCGCCGTGCAGAGGGGCCAGGCAGAGGATCACAGAGGCCTACCCTCTTTGCCTGACTCTCCTCCAAGGAGATAACACACGATATGAATCATTTATGAGGAGGGTTTTTATTAATAACACACACACACACCCTGTGGCCTGCTTTTTCTTTCCATGTTGCCTCATTTTCACTCCTTCAGAGGGAGAAATGGCGTCGGCTCTCTGAAAGGGCCGGGCTACACCGAAAAGATGCCAGGTGGGTCGAGTCACTGGAACGCCACTTGTAAACCTCCGCCTCACCGTGGGTTCAGATAGGAACCCACTCCTTCGCCTGATTGTCGGTCCGTCACAGCACCGGGTCTCTGAGTCAGAGTCCTGGACGAGGGTGGAGAAGGCACTGGGCGTCTCGAGGTTGTAGGAGGGTGACTGATAATTGGTACAGGTCATCAAACACCCACATACCGTTAAGATCGTCGCTAAGCTATAAGACCTCTAAAGAGTCTGTGTTCAGATTTGAAACCTCCGTCTTCAGCCTGCTAATTTCCTCAGGAATAAAAAAGTCGTCCCTTTTCTGACCCCAGCCTGTTCAGCCGAGCCAACTGTGATGGTGAAGGCGGGACGTCGTGTCGGTACGGGCCCTTTGGGGACCCTGGCTCCTTCAGGCGGGGGATGTACCCCTCATACCCGCTGTTCCCACTGCTCTCCTGCATCCTTTTTCCTTTGGCTTCCTGTTCCCTGCGCCTCTGCTCCTGCCTCAACAGCTCCTGAGCCTCCAGGAGGACTCTGGCATTAACTCCTCCTCCGCCGCTGCTGCCAGGATAGCCGTTCCGGGAGCCTTGGTAGCTGGAGTACCTGGGGTTGTCCTTGGCGGTTTGGAAGACGTCTCCTGGTGGGTACGCCTTGTCCCAGGAATCCTGAGAGACGGTGCTGGGGTTCTTCCTGGTCTGTCTGATGTTGGAGGAGAAAAAAACAAGGAAAGGATGTGTGAGATGGCTAGAAAGTTCTTAAGCAGGGCATACACTGTTTAATATTTTTAATCGCTGCACACAGCCGCAGCTGAAACTGTACGATGAAACCGCAGGGTTTAAAAGTTCCCAGCTAACGATATTTGCTCTCACACTGTGCGGCCTGACACTCTGATGCATCCTTACGATGGCCGACTGAATTTCAGACATGTTTGATTTTCACCCAATCTCATGATTCCTGATCGTGAGGTGGTAGTGGGAGGCTAATCGCCCCTCGTATATTACACAATGCAGGATGCACGATGCGGCTGAAAGTTGGCACGATCTAAAAATTTGTGCAGGACTGGAGAATCGGCCCAAAAAGGGCAAAAAATAGTAAAGGGTATGCCTGGCTGTAAAGGAATCCACCATTTTCTGTCATAGGTTGTTTGCCTTTAGGATTCATACACATTCACTGCAAAAATGATCTACATATAAGGAAAAAAATCTTAAATTAAGAGTATTTACCCTTATCTTTAGTTGGTAAATAAGAGGATTTGCCAATATGCTGATGAAGATTCTCAATCATCCAGGCCATAGTCATTCCGTAAAAGTTTAAAAACATCATAGACAGGTTTCAGATATTACAGGCTAACAATGGAACCAAATGACCAGCTCGTCAGTTTCAATTTGCATGTTTCCAAGCAATACAAGGACTTCTCTATATAAAGCCTCAAACTCACTGTCTATATAAAGCCTCAACCTCCAGACATTTGAATTGAGAGAGCTTCCTGGAGGTGAAGCGAAACGTCTTCAAACCTTGGAAACCAAGTCCAGTGGATTGTTTTTAAACTTTTATGGAATGATTTGCCAATGGAATTTGTTTTTTATAAATTCTTGAGATTACATAATTAGATAATACTCACTTGAAGTAAGACAAAACAATTGTTTTCTCTTTTTTTAAATGTAAATTGTCTTGTTCCATTGGAAAAGGGTCTCACTTAACTCCTCAATTCAAGAAAAAACACTTATTTTAAGAAAAAATGTGTAATTTAGATTTACATTTTTTGCAGTAAGAATGTCCAACCTTTAAAATATTACGCTCTGTCTGGTTTTGTTCTGGGCATTTTGAAGATGCTCAAACTGAAATCTGTTTTTTTCAGTTGTAGAATCTTAAATAACAGAACACCACATAAAACTGGCTAACATTTGGTCTGAAACCAAGACTTGAATCTTTACACTGGAAAAAAATCAAAATCTCTATAAGTCATTTTTTCTTAACATAAGTGCATTTGTTCTTGAATTGAGGAGATAAAAGAGACATTTTGCCAATGGAACAAGACAATTTAGATTTAAAATAAGAAAAAACAATTGCATTGTCCTAATTCAAGTGCATGTATATCAAGAGTAAAAGTGCTCATTCCATTGGGAAACTATCTGATTTACCAATTAAAATCAAGGGTAAATACACTTACTTTAAGAAATCTTGACTTATTTCTAAGATCTAAGGATCCTTAATCCAGTGTAAATTCCAATTTGAGGTCTTCTGAACAATCCAGTCTGTAAAAACAGAAAAAAAGGCTCCTTTTTCCTCCCACTGTCCTAATTTTCACACCTTTTAGACCAATAAACTTCACCTGAAACCAAACTTTAATTATTGTTTTTACTCCTATGCTGCAAAAACTGCTGACATGATTAGCTAAAAACCTCACAAACTGTGAAACCTGATCCATGCTACTTAAAAAAACAATAAAAAAGTAAACTGTATGATTGAAATAACATTGGATGACTCCAGATCTTTTACACAGAACTCCGTCTGAATGAGGCATGAAGTGGCAGAAAGGTTTTACTCTCCAAGCTGTTGTTCCTCAATCAGTTTGTGTAATTATGTTTTTAAACGAGGTCAAACTGAGCTGAAGCACTCTGCTCAATGTCGTCCACACTTCCCACACAAACATATTGAGTGTATTATCTGCTATTGCCTCACCATTGCAGTCTAATCCACTTTCATCAACATAAATCCTTCCTTGATAAATACGACACGCTGCGCTCCAGCGGTCAAAGGCAACATCCTGGATCACTTCGAGGGGTCGTGTTTGGATAAATCCAGCTGTTATTTCCCAATAAGCTGAATTAACTGTTTGACTTTGGGCCTACCGCGATGCCAGAGGCTCAGATGAAGTAAACGAGATGTTTAGGAGATCACGTCCGTGTGGCGGATCAGTTTCGTAACGACTGGATCGCTGTTGGACCTGTGATAAATGGCAGCCGTGTCCCTTAAGGAACAGTTTTCACTGAGGATAAAGGTCAGCTCCCTGCAGGGCGAGGCCCTCCCTCCTAAACAAAGATGTCTGATGGTAAATAAACCATGAAACAATGCAAAGAAACGAGGGTCTATCGCATTCATCATCTACAAGCTGCATTGATCTCTGAGCCAAAGTAATGCCATTAAAGGAGAGCAAAGGCTGCCTGCAGCAGCAGCTGCAGCGGCTTTTGGTCCGAGCAGAGCATGCATGTCTGCATATATATGTGTGTGTGTTAAAAAGTCAACCTGGTGGACTGTTAGAGCTGTCGTTTCTAATCACTGTCAGTGTGGGCATGAGCTGAATACAGAGGCATGTTTAGACCCATCAAACTTCTCTCATTTTCTAACCCAACAGCCGCAAACTTCAACATTTGTATTAGACTGTCAATGCATTAAACCATAGTAAATATGGTTGAAGAATTTTATGAATTAAGGTTTGAAATGCCCCCTGTACACAAACCCATCTACAGTAAACCAGACATAGACACTTGCCTTATTTGCCTTCACTTTTATCTTGATTATAAAGAATCAAAAAATCTTGGTCCCACCTTTTCATCCAAGTTGGTTCAGTCCACCTCACAATGTACATGTAACAGTTTTCTAGCTAAACTAAACCAAATTCTCTTTAAATAGGCTTATTAAACAATAAAAAGGGTTTCCACTATGGACTGACCTCAGGATCTCCATGACAACAATGTTTTTGTGTCCTAATGAACCAGATAAGCAGACCTGCCATGGGAATACATTAACAGTATAAAGTACAATCAGATCTGATGTGTTGAGATGAAGGTTTTGCTACCAGGGCCGACGTAAAGAAAGTCAAATACAGAGTATTAAACACTGTTTTTTTTTAGCTTTATTTTCCATTAGCACTACAAAGAACAACATCTGTACATTTAGGAAAATAGTTCAAGCAAGGTCAGACTGGATGGAGAGTGTCGATGACCGCCATCCTTGCTATGGGCTTTGACTAGCCCATTTTGGTGATCCTAACATTCCAGCTCCAGGTGGATTTTAACCATTTCCATCTTGACGAAAAGGTAAACATACAATCAAGTCTCCACAAGTAGATGAAGACAAGCAATATGTGTACTTGGTCGTTCTCATGTGCTCGTGAAACGTCCTCGGCCTCAGCCCTAGTACTGTTCCAGTTCTTAAGAACACAAGACAGAGAACAGATAAAGTACCCCAGATTTTGTTCTCGCCCCTCCCTCTTTATGGAGTATGCCTCAGAGCACACTTGTGCGTTCTCCACTGACAGCTGTAACGTGATAGTAGGAGGGGAAAAGCAGCTCCAGAACAGCCGAGCGTGTGGTGACGTCACCAGTACGCTTCTGTTCCAATTGACCCAGATTTATACTGCGTGCTCCATTCTCCCCAAGTCCAGAATTTCCTGTGTTCTTCTCAAGAACATACTTGGCGAGAACACGTGTCCGTACTCGCGTTCTTGTGAATTCAGAATCGGCCAAGGTTTCACCGAGCTGTGCATCTCTGCATCTCCTCCAAAGTTACCATTGGTTTCTTTGGCTGCTTTTCTAATTCAAGCTCTCCTTGCCCAACAGTCTTCTTGGTACCATTTGTTATTTAATCTTCTTAAACAAACCTCCAAAGCCTTCACAGAACATCTGGATTGCTAAATGCTAACTCTCAGACATAGGTACCCATCTAACATCAATTATTCTGCAGTGTTGTATAGTAACAAAGTAAAAATACTTCACTACAGTACTTAAGTATAATTTGGAGCACTTTATACTTTCCAAGAGTATACATTTTTTTGATTACTTTCACTTTTACTTCACTACATTTACGAACTTAATTGCATACTTTTACTCTAATACATTTTCAATGTTTGGTTTAGTTACTAATAGGGTTGTCACTATACTAAACCTTTCAACTCGATACCGATACTAAGGAAAATATTCGAAACCTGATACCATTTTCGATATTACAAAGATAAAAACAAAGACTCCAAAATTCTACAGAAATATTTTCATTAATAAATAAAATACAATAAATAAATACAATAAACAATAAGAACATGTTTTGAGGTTGTATGCTGTGCACAATTTTAAGCAAGCTTGATAAAAAACTTATAAAATAAAAAATTAAGTTTTCCTTCCTTTGCTATGCTTTGCACACATAACAATGACACTAGCCAAACTGGTTAAGAAACAAAAATAATTCTCAGCAGCTGCATCTCTTACAAAAAAAAAGTCTGAAACTGAAAAGTGCACAGAATTATTCAATCACACAGTGTTCAGAAAGTGCATTGTCCTCTATTCTGCACTTTAGATGAATGACTGGTGGTAGCACTGTATAGATACTTTTAAAAACGAGTATTGTATCCGGATACAACGTTTCAGTATCGATACTTTTGACAACCCTAGTTACGAAGTAAAAAAAAAAAAACAAGCGAGAGAAACGCAAGTGTTTTGACCCCACCTACTGACCCCACCTAATGACTAAAAGTCAGGTCTTGCCTTGGCTTTTCCATCAACACCAATAGGATACGCCTGTTTCGCAAAGCCAGTTTAAATGTAAGAGATGGCAAAAGTACTCACTTTCCGTACTTGAGTAAAAGTACAGATACTTGTGTTAAAAAATACTCTGGTAAAAGTGGAAGTACTGATTAAACTTCTTTACTCAAGTAAAAGTAACAAAGTACAGGCTTGTAAATTTACTTAAAGTATAAAAGTAAAAGTAGAAACCACTTTTTTCGAGCCGTTGCCTACATTTTAAATGAATGTCTGCCAATAGGACTAGATCTCCGTTGTGTTCATTTCCAATCATCTCGTCGTCCATGCTACTATGCTAACGCCACCGCCACCAAGCTGCAATGATTTGCCGCGAATGAATACCGCCGAATCTGTCGATTCATCTTGTAGTGGTGCGTCAAATGCAACGTAGATTCCCATCCAGTTAGATTGAATTTGGTATTGATGACGTGAAAAATAATAACGGTAACTCCATTGAAATGATTCAAAACTAAAGTAACGAGCCAATTTTTTTAAAATGTAAGGAGTAGAAAGTACAGATATTTGTGTAAAAATGTAAGGAGTAGAAGTAAAAAGTCGCCATAAAAATAAGTAGTAAAGTAAAGTAAAAATATCAGAAAAATCTACTTGAGTACAGTAACAAAGTATTTGTACTTCGTTACTTCCCATCTCTGCTAATTGTATCCTACACTTGGTGGTTTATATTATTTTAAGTGAATTTATCCTTCAAAGTTTACCAAAATGTAAACAAAAAAATGTCATTCAAACTGCACTTACTTTTTACTTATACTTTTCACTACATTACTTGAGTACATCTATTTTTACAGTAATTCTTATACTTAAGTTGAAGCCATTTCAGATACTTTAACTTTTACTTTTACTCAAGTAACATTTCCGTCAGTGACTTGGACTCTTAACAAAGTCATATTTTTGAGAGGTACTTATACTTTTACTTGACTCCGAGATTTCAGTACTTTATACAACACTGTTATTTGGTGGGATTATGAAAGATCTTAATATCTCGCTAATCTGTTTTCATAATTTAAAATCAGCTTTTATTTTGAAGGCCTGTTTTACTCCGTCTTAAACCCATATATTAGCTAACTGGCAGCCATGCTGGTAGCCATCTGCCTCCCAGCACTCATTCCCAGTTTATACTTTGATTAAATTACATGCAGGTGGAATTATTTTACGAATTAAAACCAGATCAGATTTTTACAGCAGGTTTTATTTAGGGGTGTGAGTATAAATGAGACAGATCTCTCTATATGTTTTTCCTTCCACTACACAGTTGTGACCTTTTTGTTCACCTGAATATTTATTATATACAATAATGTTTAAAGCTGTAACGCAATAAAATGTATGAATGTTTGATCATGTCTGAATATTTCCTAGTGGCGTCATCTAAAGTTCCTTCCCCTCCACCAGACAACAAAGGCAACACTTGGTTTGCATTTCAGAGCAGCTTTGGCCCCTTTTGTCAACATATGAAATAAAATCAGATATCGGGGACACCCGCCTCTGAAAATTGAAATCAGTCGAGCGTGTGTAAGAATAAACCTGGGCTCCACTCCTCCTATCTCACCGATCAAGGAGCGTATCCATCCCCAATTGAATCCAATCTCTATTGAATCCAAGACAAAGCTCCTTTCTGTTATCATTAAAGGATTTCTCCCTTTTTTTTTTTATGTCGCCTCTTCCTGCTGAAATCCGAACAGAGGAATAATGTGATTTCTCCACAGCTGGCTGATAAACGTGCTAATTATGCATGGCTCAGAATCAGAAGCTCAATGATGTTCTTCTTCTCCTCGCTCTGCCTCAGCCTGGAGATAAATGCACAGAGCCCAGGAGGCTTGTACACATCACACAAAGGCAGAGCCGGCCGAGCGGAAATGATAGCTGATGACACACATCTGGATTTTTTTCCCTCTCTCCCTTCACCATGTTTTGTAGCGACGTGCAGAGCAGCTGCCCAGATTCCTGACACCCAACCGAGTCGATGTCACACGCCAGAACGGCTGTACCCAGGGAGGACAAAGACGCTCGCTTCATTCTTCTGTCTGCAAAAGGTCCACTATTACTGTCTGTCAGGTCCAATAATGCTTGTTCCAGTCCCTCTCTGAGGCCTAACGGGCTGGAAGGGGACTTTGACGTGGTTAGGGGTTCCTGTATGTTGATGCTACGGGTTTGAACATGTCAGCAGGCGGTTTGTGAGACTTTACACTAGCCTCATTTTTTCTATTGAATGTGATGGTCGCCCACGGAGGTCGTTTTCCAGTAAAACCCCAAATCTATAGTTTTAAACAAAAGCTCAAAGACGGTCACAACGCATTACAAAAAGGGGGTTTACAATAGATCTAATCTATTATGTTGGAAAAGACAGTTTGGTTTTCTTTTGATAAAAATAGAGACAGTTTGGAGAACCGACCACAGACGCTCAGAGGGTATGACATTCAGAATGAGGAAAAAAAACAGCAGCTATGCCTCCATTAATAATCCTCCACCCAGATAACATGACATCTTAAAAGGTCTCTTTCCTATATGAGCTAAGCTCTTCAAATGTTTGAAATTGATTGAGCCATAAAGAAACCGCAAAATAAATCCAAAAGAACAAAATTTTTTTTTTGCAACTAAATTTCTTGTCATGTTATGAGTCATGATTCTGTTTTAATGTTCCTCAGCAGGCTGCAACCAAGCTGTCTTCTGACAACCAGCAACGTTTCTGGCATTAATGTGCCCGGATATTTGATCTTTCCCATTAGTGGATAAAATACTTTTTTTTAAAAGAAACAACCCAGCTTCAACTTGCGTTTAGGTTGATTGTCCTCATTGAGTCCATCCGGTTAAATTGATATGAGGAGGAGCTTAATAATCTAAATAAAAGTTGCTGTACCAGTGCTTAAAAAACACACCCACAGCATGATGCAGCCACTACCAACAATTTGTACATTGTTTCTGCAGCTGAAAGCTTTAGCCAGGTATGCTAAAAGTGGGTCCTCGCTAGAGGTTTCCCTGCAGCAGCTCAGCTGATTTCCATTAATTGGTGTTTTTTTCCTGAACTGCGATCATCAGAATCAGCTAAAACCTGCAGGACTGCGGCCCTTCAGGACCGAATTTGGGCCTGCCTGCTTTAGACCAACTCTTTCAAACATTTTCTCCTCTTTGTGACCAAACAGCTCAGTTTTTAAAAAGGATTTTGGCTCTTCCATGTGGACTGCTACAACTTTTTGTTGTAGTTTTGGCTGTCTTATATGGAGAAGGCTTTATTCTTCAGGTAGTTATCAAGGTTTGCAGATGCTTAAAAAGGCTTTTTAACGGTTTGCAGTTGATCTTGGGTCTTGGTGTTTTCAGGGGTGTTTTAGACATGGCATAATGGTCAAAATGAGGATTTAGAATCTGAAGGTGTTGAATAAATCTAAAATTGACCAGATTTCCACAGATTTTCCCATTATGGTCTATTTAAAGACTTCTTGCACTACGCTTTCCGTTAACATGCTGAGCCACAGCCCTATGAGCAGCCAGCTTTTTTCAGTACTGGCAGAAGTCAAACTACCAACTACAAGCAAACCATCAAGAAAATAAATAAGAGGGAAAATGGGTCAAGAGACCAAAAAACAGAGTGTGGGTCGACAGGTAGAAGGACAGCAACAGTAATAAAATTAGACTGAAGGAACAGCTGGAGCAGATATAGAGCGTCGTCTTAAATGGTCCCAGTGGAACCAGGACCATTAGGGGCTGTGACTCTCCATCTACCCCAGAACACCCATAAATAATGAACACATCAGCATTTCCTGGAACAAGCAGCCAAAGGATCACACAGATCAAAGGGAATTAGATTAAGGAAAAAGGAAAACAATCATGTCAGAAATGTCTGAGACGATAACATGATCCGTTTGTTCTAGCTAACAGTGTTTGTGTGACACTTTGTAATGTGAAGCTGACAACTACTGACCCAGTTCCTGCTGTTATCTAACGCTGGCCTGAAAAACCTGCAATGACCAGAGAGGCATAGATGGAGGCAGAGAGACAGAAACAATGTGTTGATGAGTCTCACCGAGGCAGGGAGCTGTACTGCCGCTGCGCCTGGGCGAAGGAGTCCCTCTCCTCCTGCCTCTGCCGCTGCATCTGGACCTCCACAGACACAGAGTGGCGACCCGGCTGACTGTACCCCGCTGGACCGTTGCTGCTGGTATTTGACTGAAAACAAGGCGACAGGTGGATCAGAGACCATTCTGACTCTATTGTTTACAGTGAAACTAAAACACTAACTTGCTGATATGTTACTCCCTGTTTAAACATTGCTTAATTTACTTTGAGCCGTTTTGCAGCTGAAAGCCTAAATAATTAAAAAACCTTTAAATAATTTTTCTTATATCACAAGTTCTAACAGTTATTCAAGCATTATATGTCTTTAAAGTTTAGTTGATGGTAAAAGTGTGATGGAAAGAGATGAAGTAGTGATATCTTCTGCTAAAGCCGGGCGTACACTGCGATTTTTTTGGCCGACTTTCCAGTCGTGGGAGAATTTTTTCATCAGGACAAATTTCAGCCTGATCGTGCGTCATGTAGTGTACAGGGGGAAACGAGGGGGCGATCAGCCTCTCACGACCACCTCCCCATCAGGAATCATGAGGTCAGGACAAAGATGTTTAATTTTCAGTTGACGGTTGAGGGCAAATCACTGTGCGCAAACATGGATTCTTCTTCTTCCTCTCAGATGAAAACACAGCAGTATGGCGGGGATGCGAGTGAAATGGAGTTCTTTCTGTAAAACTGACAGACCGTAGTAGGCATGTTTGCTCAGCCGCGTCTTTGTCAAAATCCGTCGTTGCTTTTTCTTTTTAGGGCTTTCAAGCACAAAATTGCACAAATTGCCAAAGCAGCGCGTTTTACTCTAGTGAGCTTCATATTCCTCTTCTACTTGTTTGGCTTCCGGATAGAAGAGTCCGAGTATCGCCATCTCACTGCGTAGCTGATTCCAACGTGGTTTTTAGATGTACAGTGTGAACGGGTAGATCGTGTCGTATCGCACAGGGTGACAGCTGTGAAGCTGCGAGCAACGATTGAAAAAAAATCGCACAGTGTATGCCCGGCTTAACAGAGCATCAATAGGCCACATAGTTTACAGCAGGAAGCCCCAAAGTCGGTCCTCGAGGGCCGCTGTCCTGCAGGTTTTAGAGGTTTCTCTGCTTTAGCACAGCTGATTCTGATGATTGCAGTTCAGCAAAAGCCTGTTTATCAACTATCAATGTAAATCAGCTGTACTGGAGCAGGGGAACCTCTAAAACCTGCAGGACTGAGGCCCTCGAGGACCGACTTTGGGGATGCCCTATTTACAGCATCAACTCCAAACATCTCATAGATTTTTAAGTGAAAATCACTTAAAAATGGTTTTGTTACTGTTATGCTCTAAACTAAAACTCAATAGGATATTGTATTGTTTTTTACCTGCTTAACTTTGAAGAAAGCCTGCATTAAGTCTTTAATTTCTCTGTAATAACGGAATAAAATCATTGTTGCTTAGAAAAGCAAACTTTAAAGGGTTTTGCACATTTGCTTTATTAAAATATAGACATTTAATTATTTTACCCAATGCATTTCTATGGAGGAACACGTTTAATTTGGAAGAAATAATTTCCTCCCCTTATTAAAAATAAAAAGTCTTTAACTTAATTATCTCCTGTGCTTGAGGGCCAGGTTGGAATCATTGTGGAAATGCAGAGGGAGGGGGATGCACACAATTAGTCCGAGGGCCACAAATAAAATGTAATTTGGAGTTTTCATTAGCTCCAAGCCATAATAATAAAGATTAAAAGAAATAAAAATTTAAACTACTAAATGTGCAAAATATATAAACGACTTGCAATTGTTGAATTCAAGCCAAATACAGAACTTTTTATATTTTAACTTTGCGGAAACCTTTATCTAAAGCAATGTAATAAACAGGAATATAATTAAAAAGTTGAATTTTTTCAGTTACTGGCTTCATTAAATGTATTAATTACACACAGAAGATATTATATAGATATATTAAAGCCTTTATTTTTATTACTACTTATAGCTAATAAAAAAAAAAGTCATTTTTTTATTATGATATCAAATCTGACCAGTAAAAAATTATTCAATACTGAAATATGGGCTCCATGAAAAACTACTTAAAGGTTACTATTCTCCAAAGGCATTTTAACAGTCTCAATATTATATATTATAATTCATTAAATATACACATAAAATGTATTGAAATCAGAGCAGAAATTTAGGTTTAAAATAAATAAACATAAATTGTGAATATAAAACCTGAAGAAAATTGTTCATTTTCTTGAAAGAAGCTCAAATTTTTACATAATATAAATTTGAATAATAAAATGACATAAGGATCAAAGGTGTTATGGGAGCCCCATGACGTGTTTGAAGGATTACTGGCTTTGTGATGGAATATTGAAGACCTATCTGTGACCTCGGCTGGAAAGCCCTACATGAAACTACAGGAGTATGAAAATCCACAGACATGTGACTTTTTAATAACTAAAGAGCAGAACACCATCTGACCTCTTGGATGGGATTAACGGCTGGATTTTTACACATCTCTGAAACTTACCGGCAGCTAGTCGGTGGGACTCGCCTCTCCTCAGGTCAAAATGAAGGTGAGACACAGGAAGGCAGGCAGATAAGATGGGAGGAGGGGGGAGTGAGGGGAAGACCATGCTGCAGGCTTAGAGAAAGGTTATGGTGATGACATGGATGTTAGTCGGTGTTAATGAAACAGACTCAACACTGTGATGGTCCTTTTTGAGATTAACGCCCTGACACAAACACCTCACCAACAGATTATCAGCTGACAGTCGCCTCCTGCAGACATGTCACACATTCCTCAGTTTAATGTGGACATTTGTTACTATACATATATACATATATATATATATATATATATATACATATACATATATATATATATATATATATATATATATATACATATATATATATATATATATATATATATATATATATATATATATATATATATATATATACACACTGCCTGGCCAAAAAAAAAGTTGCCTCCAAAAAAAAAAAAGGTCACTCACTCTAATATTCTGTTGGACCGCCTTTAGCTTTGATGACGGCACGCATTCGCTGTGGCGTTGTTTCGATAAGCTTCTGCAATGTCAAAAGATTTATTTCCATCCAGTTTTGCATTGATTTTTCACCAAGATCTTGCACTGATGATGGTAGAGTCAGACCTCTGCGCAAAGCCCTATCTAGCACATCCCAAAGATTTGCATGGGGTTGAGGTCTGGACTCAATCCATGTGTGAAAATGATGAGTCATGCTCCTTGAACCAGTCTTTCACAATTTGAGCCCGATGAATCCTGGCATTGTCTTCCTGGAATATGCCTGTGCCATCTGGGAAGAAAAAGTCCATTGATGGAATAACTGGTCATTCAGTATATTCAGGTAGTCAGTTAACCTCATTTTTGAACACATACTGTTGCTGAACCTACCCTTACCAACTGCAGCAACCCCAAATCATAACATCGCCCCCACAGGCTTGCACAGTAGGCACTAGGCATGGTGGGTGCATCACTTCACCTGCCTCTCTTCTTACCCTGATTCGCCCATCACACTGGAACAGGGTAAATCTGGACTCATCAGACCACATGACCTTCTTCCATTGCTCCACAGTCCAATCTTTATGCTCCCTAGCAAATTGAAGCCTTTTTTCCCGGTTAGCCTCTCTGATTAGTGGTTTTCTTACGGCTACACAGCTGTTCAGTCCCAATCCCTTGAGTTCCCTTCGCATTGTGCGTGTGGAAATGCTCTTACTTTCAGTATTAAACATAGCCCTGAGTTCTACTGTAGTTTTTCTTCAATTTGATCTCACCACACATTTAAGATCACAATCATTCAGGATTTTTTTCCGGCCACATTTCTTCCTTGAAGATGATGGGTCCCCACTATCCTTCCAGTTTTTAATAATGCGTTGGACAGTTCTTAACCCAATTTTAGTAGTTTCTGCAATCTATTTAGATGTTTTCTCTGCTTGATGCATGCCAATGATTTGACCCTTCTCAAACAGACTAACAATGTCCACAGGATGAGTCTTTCAACAAGGTTGTTTAGGTAATGAGAAGCAAGTCATTGCACCAGTTGGGGTTAAATAACTTGTTGCCAGCTGAAAGATAATCGCCCATCCAGTAATTATCCAATAGGAGGCCCGTACCGATTTGCTTAGTTGAATCCAGGTGGCGACTTTTTTTTTGGCCAGGCAGTATATATATATATATATATATATATATATATATATATATATATATATATATATATATATATATATATATATATATATATATATATATATATATATATATATATATATGTGTATGAATTCAGTTGAATTTAGGATTAATCAGTTAGTCTTTATCTACTTTTTAAGATTTTCTCTTATTTAGTTTGTTTAACCCATCAATCCTCCCAAAACCAATGTTTAGTTATTGTCATTATAATAAAGGCTTAACCATGCACAGGTTTTTTCAGTTATTTATTTGATAATTAAACTACTTTATATTTGTGGTGGATTTAAAATACAGCAAAGAACCTGGAAAACAAAAATGAGCTGCAGTGATTTCAACAATATCAATGTTGCTTCTGTGCACATACTCTACCACTCTGATAGCTGGCATCACATGCATTCATAACTGGGTTGATTGATTATTCCAACTGCATATGGTCCCACTCTTCTGGTCAGAACCCTTAGATGATTTTCAAGATTTAACAAATCATCAAAGGCTATTTTCAGTCTGTTTTACCAGCTTTGAAACCAATTTTGATAAAAGTTTGGGATCATTTTACAGTAAGATTTAAAGATTTAATCGCTGCATCCAAACCTTTTGCTTTAGATGAAATAAATCAGTTATATTCATAGGAACAACCAGGACTGAAGTCCATCAGGAACTGGATATAGCTGGGGAACCGATGTTCACGCCCACGGCCGTGATAGTGTTACGTTGATAGAGACAGAGAGGGTTTCAGAGCATTGGATTAAAATCAATCAAACTTGACTCAAGTTTACGGCTGCTACCATTAAAAAGGCCAAATTCCTGGAGAATAAAAATCTGTGGGGAGATCAGGCAAGGAAGATGCTATTTAGCTATACAGAGATTGTTTGGAAGAGGTTAGCACTATTGGGGGGCGGT